TCCCATGTGGGACACAACGCGCATCCTCTCTCTCGCCTGCGTCAACTCCTCCTTCGTGACCGTCACACGGGCTCCTCGGTCTGCCACAAGCTGCTGGTCGGTGGGCACCTCCTCCTCCACCTGCTGCCAGTAGTGCACCCAGCTCCCMTACGGATGTGGCCTGTCACTGGGAGCATCGTCCGACATAGCCTGCCTGTCGAGGAGCCGAAGGTTCCAATGGCATCGCACGAGCTTCTCGGCCCGTGCCACCTCCAATCTGTTACGAGATTTGGAGTGCATGAAACTCCAACGGGACCAAGCTCTCTCGCAAGGCGACGCAGTCGCCCACACACGCAGTATCCTGCCAGCGAAGAAGGYCGTGTGCGGGAACCTCTTCTCCTTCGACTCCCAGAAACATGCTGGATGGGTATAGCTCCTCGCCGCCCGGTCCATGGCCACATCGTCGAACGGTGGCTCCCTGGAATGGAACTTGTCAATGGCAGTGAGGACCTCGGTGTGCTGATCCGAATGTTCGGGTACCCAAACTGAATCAGAGCGAGTTTCAAACCGTGCTCCATCTCCTCGTTATCTGGCATCGTGCGGTCTCGAAACTCAGGGTCCAACATCATGGCAGCAACATGAGCAGGCGACTTGAACATGGTGCGGCGTCTGTCAAACACTTCAAGCAGCGCGTCCTGCTCCTCCTTCTCCAAAGCGGCACATGCAGACAAACAACGCGCAATCATCTCGTCGTACCGATGCAGAATCTTGCCAATCTGCCTCGTGTCGCTGTCCACCATCTGCAGCATGTCCATGATGGGATCCAACAACTTGCACAGCGCTCTCATATCCTCCCACCATTGAGGACAACCGACACATGCTGTGACCTCCGCGGCGTCGTCTTGAATCTTCTTCGTTGACCAAACAGTGTCCTTCCATCGATCATCAACGACCACCTGCATAAGATGCGATTGCAGCAGAAGAAGTCGTCGCATCATAATCACATGCGTACCGAAGTGAGTCTCGGCGGGAAGCAGCAGAGCCTTCGTCGTGAAAGCTTGCAAAACTTTGCGAGCGTGGCTATGACGCTTGAAAAACTTTGTGACCAAACGCGCCTGAGCAATGCGGGTCGCCACCCAGTCAATGCTGGCGATGTCCTCAAGGATGAGGTCCATGACGTGTGCCACACAAGGAATCCAGAAGATGTGCTTGACACTCTCATCCTATTGGAACACCTCCATCACAGAAACGTTCGAACTGGCAGAGTCTATGACGAAAGCGGTGATGTCGGCGAGCTTGATGTCAAGGGACTTCAACCTTCGCAGCCAAGCCTGCGCCAGAGCAGTGGCATCCTTCTTTCCTCGCATAACATCTGTCGCGACGTATGTGGCGCCCCGTGTAGTGCCGACGAGATAGTTGCACAACGTTTGGCCCCGAATGTTCGTCCAACCGTCTGTCATTATCGTGCAACCGTAGGTAGCTGCAGTAGCGAGGACAGGTTTCACACACTTTTGGACTTCCACATCAAGCTCATCCAAAAGTGTGGTACGGATCATGTGATACGTTGGGGGTTTTGGGGTGGGGACTCCTGGAACCCCAGGTGGGATGATCAACGTCAACATGCGTTTGAAGCTCTCAAGCTTCACACAGTTGAACGGCATGCCGCTCTCGACAATGAATCGCATGATCTGCAGGTGCCATGCGTGCTCCAGCGGGTCGTTGTAATACGAGGTCACCGCCTGCTGCCTGTAAGTGCCCCTCACTCGTGCACCGACGCCCATACCTAGCGAATCCCACACCCCGCCCCCGGCCGCAGGTGATGCAGTGGGGCCTGGACTCGGAGCTGCAATGTTGCGCAGATTCTGTAAAGGATCCAGTGTCCCAAAAACACCGTGCTGCGAGGTCGGGCCGTTCACGG